ATATAAAACACATACAGGAAAACTAGAAGAAAAATGGAAGGGACCATATTATATACATGAAGTAATAATAAATGGATCGTACAAAATTAAAGAATTAAATGGAAGAATTTTAAGAAGACCAGTAAATGGAGAATTACTAAAAGAATATTTTGATAGAGAAGTATTTGAACCATATATAATAATATAATATGTTTGAGACCCGAATTCGATTCTTAATTTATGGGACATAAATTTTTCAAGAGGAGGATAAATGTAATAACCGAAAATATAATAAAATAGAATAAGGATAAATAATTAGCCGATGGGTAAATAATTAGCCAATAAAATTATATTTATAGTTTAGTTTAGTGTAACGAGATAGTCATATGATAATAGATCTTCAAATTTTATTAGAAATATTAGAAATATTAGAAATATTTTTCTTAAAAATGTATAAATACAAGTGGATTTCGATAGGAAATTCTGCAGTTCAATTTTTGGAAAAATAAAATTTTTAGTTCGCCCTTAATAAAAACTAACACATTCTTTTTGCCTTTTTCTTATGAGTAAAAAGTGCCACATTAATTATTTTTAATTAATGGTTTATTAATGTTTTATAACTAAATTTTATTTTAAACCAAGCATAGATATTATTCGAACTCAACACGTCGGTGGCAACATACGATATTTTATTTTAATATCCTATGGGCGGTGTGTCACAATGTTCAAGATCTTGAATGTTTAAAATATTACTACAATGACAAAGGTGGATTAAATGCAATAATCATTAATTACGTTAAGGGTAACCTTGAGATATGTGCTTCATTAACCACTATACTGATTCTACGTGAGTATACATATATGGTAACTGTACTAATTCTACGTGAGTGTACATGTATGGTAACTGTATTGATTCTATGCAAGCGTGTATGGTAACTGTACTGATTCTATGTGAACGTATATGTATGGTAACTACTGATTCTACGTAAGCGTATGTATATGGTAACTGTACTGTCAATGAATATTATTATGGAAAGTTTGAGGTCTGCTTATTCTGGAGGAGGAATAGGCTATGTACTTTCCTCAAAAGGTTAAATTACTAATTTATATGATACTGAAGCTATACTTCTTTTTTTTTAGGGTGAATTACATTCATCAAATTCAGTCAAGGTGTGTAAAAAATATTGCTTGCTGTATATTAACAGTTATTATTTAAGGATCAAGAAATCTCATCATTAAATTTAACATGAATTAATACAATACGTTCATTGACTCCTTGATTTACAGGTTGAAAATTCCACGCAAGTAAAGCATGGTGATCCATCAACATCCAATAAACTGGTAATTCAACCAGAAATGAAACAATTGTATCCTTATATTTCATTTATAAAAAAAGTCAAATTTACTATTGAAGAACCTGAAGATGAAAACTCGATTGAATCAAAAAATTTAAGGGAGAAAGATATTTACAAGAATATAAATTGGAGAAAGTGGTTAGAGAATGTTCTAGAAGTTAGTAAAATGGCTACCTATGAGAAATAATTGTCAAATGATTATACTTATTTTTTCTATTGTTTTACAGTCCTCGATAAAGGAAATCAGGGTAAAAATTTTGAGTCTATATACTGTAAAAAATAAATTTGATGACACCATGATACGATACATTGAAAAGGTGTTAATGGATTTATTTTTTTAGTATTTGCGATATTTTATTCTAATCATTCTAATCCATGTATTGTAATAATAATATCAATTAATCATTAGCATCAACAAAATAATTGATGTTCCCAAACATATTATGTCTATTGATGAAATTGAACGAGACTGGATAGTCAACAAAATAACTCCGCTATTTACATTTCTACAAGCAACCCTTACAAATAAAATACTATTCCATTGGTAAGTGCTATTTTCTTCCGTAAATTTTTACAACTTATAAAACCTACCTACTTGTGCACTCAAACATATTGGATTGAACACGATTCTGGTCTAATGATTTCTGGTAAATCTCTAATATATGGTGCAAATAATCCTCTATCCATTTATTTTTCTCTGAAATCTGGTTTAGAGGAATAGGTTTACGCAAATGATTTAGGAGCCTTTGATATGTCCTATCTTTTATACTTACTGGTAGTTTATCTGTAATGTAATTATAATCCGGATGGAACATTATACTCAGTTATTTTGCGCGCAAAAATTTTGCATGCAAAAAAAAATCGATATATATTCATTTTTATTCGATCGTTCGGGTGAAAACAGAATCATACGCAGTTTGTCGATCTCTTTTGATTTAGTCAGTCTCAGTTTATTTTATTCGATAAGCGGTCATATATGAATTAAAAAGGAGAAAGGCCTAAACTTTCTTATTATTTACTCAAAAATGAAAATTCTGGACACACGTGTCCACTAATTGCACAGTAATGAGGCACAGTAAATATTACGAAAATCAAACCAGATTATCCTTAGAAGTTTTTCTTTGTAAAGAATTAATATAATCCATTAAATTCTTTTTCTATATGTTATAATCTTTATAGGTAAAATTAGATTTAGTGTGAATTGATTATATAACGTGTGTGTTCAGTTCCAGAAGAATCATTCGAAAAAAGAATTGTTAATATGGAGCAATATTCTTAAAATAACTTAAAAACTACATTTTAACTGATTATATGAATAGACTATAAGAATGAAAGTAATAATGGAAAGCTTATTTCAGATGACAATATAGTTTTTCCGGTATACTTTTGAGAGTCATTTGACTCTAAATTAGTTTGGGAGGTTCGAAAGAACTTCTATAAATAGACCGATTGTACAGAATAAATAATGTTTTAAAGTACAAATTGCTTATATTAATAGTTGCATACATAATCATTTGATATTCGCGTTAAGAGCTTAAAATTATAACTCAAACTTGCCACATTACGAAAATAATAACGATTGATAATACTTACCTTTTTAGAGTTCAAGAACTCCAGGATACATTTTCTTCACCCAACACTTTGCTTCTTTCCATTGCTCGAGATTATCAAAGTACATGTAAAAAGAACGACCATCGGGCTTATTTCACTAACAAAACATGTTTGAGTTTGCATAAAATTCCATCATCTGTTCATTACCCAGGTTCCAACCGCGTCTTCATTGATTTCAAGATACTTTTTCCTTCAAGTATTTTCGTGTTCGCAAGCATATATAAAATGTGTATAATAAGAATCCAAATACATGACTCTTGTTTGTAAATCAGAGCGATAAAGCACATTTGTCCATTTAAGACGTTGAGACATTGCTAAAGGGTAGATTATTTTAAGCACATAAATTTTAATAATCTATAGTTGTATATTTTAGGGAGTTTAGCGCTTACCATGATCCCAGAACCAAATCTCTACGATCCAGTCTCTCAACAGAGCTCTTGTTAATGCAGGTCGATAATCTCCATCTCCAGCAACAAGCACAATTATGCCGGGTCTTTTATATTCTTGAATTGCGTCACTAATAGATAACCCTAGCTCATTATCTACTTCTTTCTCTTGAAATGCATAGTTCTTATCAAAGACTGAAACTCGATATCCAAAATCTTCGATTTTTCTCCATATCGAATCGTTCGGCAGTGGACGCGAGCCAACAATAACTGGGTCATCACCTATTTGTCGTCCGTTCAGAAGCATTTTCAGAAGCCGACCATAATCTATATATAGTTGATTCTCATAAACACTTTCAAGGGCGCTAATTAATTTCTTTCCCTCGATTTCGATGTTAGAATTATCAACAAAAATATGTACTAGTCCGGTGGGCTCTCTTGAAAAAACTACAAGGAAAGATATTCACATATTAGCCATTATAAGTCCTGCGAAACAATGACTATCAAAAAGGCTACACGTCCACTCGCGTTGACCAAATTATTATGATTCACTTACCTTGACCTATGATAACGTGAATACATTTTTGGGCGGATAAGAAGCAGGAAAGAAAAGCACAAGAACAAGTAAGTATTCAGTATTATTGGCGAATATGACAGAAGACGAAAAGTTATACTAAATTTGTTGTGACTCACTTGCTTCTACGATAACTCTAACGTTAACTCCTTTGATGTTTCCAAAGGCTTCTTCAATTGTTAATCCTGGAATTACTAATTTATTTTTGTCGTTTAACATATCATCAATATGAGCGGACATAATTTGTGTCTGATCGATGTTGACTCACCATAAAATGAGTCTATTGGCATCAACGTTAGAAAATTCATTTCGTATCTTCCCCTTGATAGCATCTTTGAGGTCGATAATAAAGTTGCCCTTATCAATAGTAACGTAGAAAACATTTTCACTTCTACTTCCACGAACAAGACACCAAAGTCTGACAGACATTTTGTACGTTAATAGGAAAAAAAATTTTTTGTACGTTAATAGGAAAGAAAAATTTTTTTTTTGCAAAATGAGAAATTTGAGATATATATATGATTTGACTCATCAGTTGATCAGTTACGCAACACAGATATCGTATATGTCAGGATAAGATAGTATGTCGTACATATATAAGAACGATACATTTGCCTGTCACACCAGATTACAACAACATAGGGAAAGTTCTAAATTTAGAAACCGTATTTTATTAATGTTACACGTATGATTTTATTGATAATATTTTATTTCAATAGATATTAAATTAATATTAAATAATATCAAAATATTATTATTTGAAAACTTGACATAATTTCATTAATTTTCATAATTCTGGCCAAACCAGGAAAATTCACAAAAATAATATTTTTTTATTTATGGTCTACTTATTTTTAAGTCTTTAAAAAAAGAAAATAATTGCATAAATGAATTATATACTTAGTTAACTTTCTTTATCTTAATCCTAATCCTATGTTAACTTCTAATTCTAATTAACCTTTAACTTTAACTAATTTTAATCTTTGAAGTTTCTGTAAAGTTATTTAAAATAATTTAATAAATACCTAAGTATTACTTATAATAAATATCCAATTATTATATAAGTTTTATACATATCTACTAATAATAAAAACTCATGCAATGGTAGAAGGGTATAAGGTCAAAACCTCTGAAATCTGTATCATACCCAGGGTATTGTGATTCCTGTTATACTATAAATGATTTTGAAGAGTGGAGCAGCTTGTTAAATAAGATTGAAAACAAGTAAGATTGAAATTTAATATGAAATTTTAATCATGATCAGCTTGAGATTGAAATTAATTTTAATTATGTTTTTTGTGAAATCAGATTAACCTCTCAATTTTGTAAAGACACCTATTATTCATTATCTTTAATATTCCTATATTTTTTTTAAACTTTTAGTTTTTGTATAATAATACTATATCAAATCTTCTCTTAATAAGTTAAAGTAAGTACTTGCAAAATTGAATTCTTAATCTCTTTATTTTTTTTAATTTCTTTATTATTGATTTAAATGGATTCTTTTTAATAAGTATTAATTTTTTCTCAATATTTTTTATCAGATTATACTGTAATATATTATAAGTATATTAGCTTTATTTGCATATTTAAAAAATAAAATAAGGAATTAAAAAAGTAATGTGCATTTTATATGTTATACAATTCCTATTATATTAACAAGAATTTTTCCGATATTGCACTATGTATTTTAGATGATTAATTATTTTTTACATTATAATCGAAGATACCATAAAAGTTCTGAATATAAGCAACCTTTTTTTATTATAGGGGTACTTATATTTAAGTAAATTTATATATTTGATATATTGTAGTATTAGCCAAAATTATTATTGGTCAAGGGTGTTTACTTTCAGATAATATAAAAATCTGATATAATATACTTATATTATAGAATATTGTAGAATAGAAATTAAGAAATCAAAATAAAAAAAATGAAAAATTGTAGAATTATTAAATTTTAATAAAATGTTAAAATATATAAATATCAGTAAAATTTGATGAGAATTCTGCAGCTTATTGCTTAACAATTAATTCTGTTCTTTCAAAGAAATAAAATAAAATGTTTAATTATTAATAAAAGGTTATCATTGTGATTTTATCATAAAAAATAATAAAAATATAATAGTGTACAAATATTTGTTCTTTTTTAAATTATTCTATATATAGTAATTTGCTTTATAGTTGTGCAATAATTTTCCTTATTAAAAAGGTAAATTTTGGGGTTACATTTGTAAAATCTTGAAAATGCGTTGTGGAAGTCGTGGAACCTAAGTAATCGAATCTGGAAATTATCCCCGCGATTTTCAGAACTAGAAATGGACGTGAAAAAAAAAATCTTGTTGCGAAAATTTAGACTACTTTTAAATGCGTTCCAAGAGGACAAGGAATCGTTTTGGATTTGGACAAAGCACTTGAGAAGGAAGCAGAAAATGCCGACTGGAATAACATAAAAATTGACTCTCCCTATTTGAAAGAATCTCAGTCGTGTTTTGGCGTTACTACATGGAATTCTTTCAATACATCTGAAATTCTTCAAGATATTATGAAAAGACTTGAAACATATTTTTATGACACGTTGGAGGAACATAAAATTATGTATTATGATGCAAAAAAACGTCCAGGATTAGACTTTATCTTCGACGATTGCTTTCTTATCCCCGAATATCAGTTAAGAGATATAATTACTAGACCGGGTCGTTCACCGCACCCCGCTTTTCGTTTTGTTGCTTCCGCTGAAATCCAAGGTTTCCCGAGGGGTGGATATGAAATTGTTACTAATGCACGTGGAATTTATTTAATTGTCGTGATCATCTCTTCTGAAAGCCCATCAATTATTCAATTCCAAGTAGGATTAGAATGTGCACAACGACTTAAAGAAAAATTCCTTGTTGAAAACAGTAGTAACAATAATGTTGTGTGCGTTCTTGGGGCAATTATTTCAAATGAGAGCATTATTACTTTTGTTAGTGAAAAAGATGAAATAATTGCTCGTGCCGCAAATGAATCATATCTTGGCAACAAACAAGCAATCGATGAAATTTATTCTGTGGTATCTCGGCCGGTGTATGATCATCAAGATCGATTGCATTTAGAAGGTAAAATTTTAATTTGGTTCAAATGATTATGATTTCCGATATTTATACTTAACTTGTTTCGTACCATTTACAAAATAGACTACCGAGATTACGGAGGTTACGATTGTTATGATTCCGTTGAAGTAAGTATAAATTTCCCAAGTGTGCGGTTATTACTTTTAACTTATAATATGCAAAAAATAGACACCTATGATGAAAGCTATTCGCTGTAACGAACGCTCGCACGACTTTAGCATGTGCAGCATAGAACACATCGATATCCGCAAAAGCAAATTGTTCTTTAATGCCATTTGTGAAGACCAAACCTCTTTCCCTATGATCCACGACAATTCTTCCGATTTCGGCCACCTTTCATCTAATTTCATAAAGATTTCGGATGGGTTTGCATGGAACACTGCAGACGTTCCCGAAATTCTCGAAAATGTCATTAAATTGCTATTGGTCCGATACCGTTATAAGGCTGATTACGCTAAACATGATCACGAATTGCGTAGATGTTTGCCGCTGCTTGTTGATTTGACGGATGAGAATCAGGATGTTGAGTTGCAATCAAAATTTTTGTCCGACATAAAAAAATGGTTTCCTGGTTTCGAATTATTGAATCAAATCAATTGGAAGCACGAAAAGGAAGAAGCGGCTAATCAAAGCAAGAACTTAGTGATGACGAACGGATACGGAGTCTTCGCATTAATTGTCATCAAGTTCATAAAGAAAAATTTTAAACGATCTTCCAAAAAGGCTAACCTTCTGGTAAAAGCTCGTCAAATCAAACAACAATACGTGGACACTTATAAAGATCTCGCTTCATTTATTGTAATTATTGGAGCCATTTTTACTAACGAAGAGGGTGGAACCCTTGAATTCATAAATAATACGGATAGACAGATCGCATCAGCAGTGAATCGTTGGCGGCCTGTTGAACGAGCGCCATATATTGGTAATACTGTATATCTCATTTTTGAATGCGCTCATAATCTTGATAATTTGAAAAATCTAATGAATTCTCTTAAATCAGACGAACACTCGAGACGGTACTTCCACCCACTTTTTGGAATGAAGGACTCTTCAGTTGAATATATTCCACTTTACGGGAAGGCTCGAGGGTATTATTTTGTTAAAGGACCAAACTCTCAAGACATTAAATTTGAATACCCACAAAATTCTAATTGGCTAATATATGCATCACGCGCATGGGATGAACCCTCATATGAAACACTTATGGCACACGTACCTCCGGCGTTTCTCCCACAAAAAAGTAATTTCTGTTTTCCATTCAGTATGTTGTTCTCTGTATAATAGGCTGTCTACTAAAATGATTCAATTTATCAAAAATAAGATTCCCCTCCTCCTGAAGCGAATATTTGGAATGAAATCAATTTTAAGGCCACTTTCATATTTATATTAGGGCTAATTCTTTGGCAATTAACTTAATCAATCACATGAAAATTATCAGATAATAATCTGATCTATTGTATATAGTATTTCGTACCAATTAATTATTTTAAGATTGTTAAGACTTCATCTAGTAACGTTTTGCGGTAGCTTCTTCGATTTCTTCCTTCAAATGTTATGATTTTTCATGATCGAAAAGATAAATTCTGCCACTCAGTTAGTGATTACTGGATCAAATTACACGTAATTCTTGTATGCCATTAAATCCCATTAAATATCAACCGCACACTATTCACTCAAATATGACAATTTATAATGTCAATCGATACTCATGGGATTTGGTAGATCTTTCTGTAATACACAAACTAACAAAAAAAAAAAAATGGCGCAGCCTTTAATTCTTGATATGAAAGAATTTCTATTTATTATTTATTAAAAATTTACAAAAAAAAAATAAAAATTGTTTTTTTTTTTTACTAAATACAAAAATTATAATTACAATTAAAGATATAAAAGAATCAAAAAGATTTGTGAAAAGGTTAATAACGAAAATTTTGTTTTTTTTTTTAATTTTCAAAATTTATAACCGATATTTCACCAATTCCACTATCTCTATTTGATTTTTTCCAAATCCAAATATTACTAACAGATTTATTTTTCCCTTTACTAAACATTCCAAATTTATCTTTTTGTAATTGAAATCTAATTAATAATTCATCAACTTTTTCAAAAGAAATGATATCATTATTGATATCATCAAGAATATCCAAATTATCATAAATATCTAAAGAATAATCACTATAAAAAGAAACAGGAGATAAAGGTCTTCTAGGTATAATAAAATTTGATTGAAAATTTTCTCCTAAAACATTTTGAGATTTTTTCCAATAATAATCATCATTTCTTAAATAATCGATCAAAGTATTTAATCCACCATCATAAATTTCATTAACAAATTTCAATTCAATATAATTTTTTCCATTTAATTCAACTTTGTTTATTTTACCGTAATTAGAACGAATTTCTAATACGTTTAATAATGAAGACCAAATATTATATTCTCGGGCTGTCCAATTTTCTGTACTGGTAGGAAATGGAATATCATCCAAAAGTATTGAATTTGGAATTAGATCATGATTTTTTGTATAAAGAAGCACACTAAGAAATCTTGTGAAAAGAGCTGAACGTTTCTTTCGTTGTCTTGTCCAGTTAAAAGATTTATTTTTATATGAAGAAACTTTTCCTCCCATTTTTGATACGAGAAAAAAGGTGTGTATAAAAGGTATAAAAGTATGTATGATCGTTAATACCGGTATTAACGAAAATTAAATTATTTTATTTTACTTTTTATTTTGATTTTTTTTTTATTATTATTATTATTNTTTTTTTTTTGTTTCTTTTTTTTTAAAAAAAAAAGAAAAAAAAACAAAATATTTACAAAGAAAAATTATCTTTTTTTATTTTTTTATTCTTTATCATAAAATTTACAAATTATGCAATTAACAAACAACGAAAAACGTTGTCTATATATATAAAAAATTTCAACAAAAATTTCAAATAAAAATTTCAACAATACATTCTTTCCTTGTTCGTAACCCCTTATTACACAATTAATGATGCAATCACTTTTAATAATATTTTTAGTAAATGAAAGAAAGATAAAAATAATAGATTACACAACATCTTTCAATATATGATATATATTGTTAATAGAAGTTTTTTTTGTCATTCAAGTTACTCGACAGTGATCAAATTTGTGAAATTGTTTATATTAATTTTTTAATTGTTTCATTTTTTTTTTTTTAAAGTTGAAAGAAATTAATATTAACTAACAAAGAACAATATTAAGAATAGTTCTGCGCTTCATTAATATTGTATTCCATTTATAGAATAATTATTGTCTCACACACATATAATACATATAATATATAATATCAATTTCGTTGGGGGAAGTTTATCGACCAAATTTTTTCGGTTCTTTTTTATTGTGACTTTTGTGGCCAATCCCAATATATCGGATTAGCTAGTATTGTTTATCCGAATTTTTATTTATCAAATTAAACAATATTTTGTTCAACTTTGTTTAATGAACTATAATAGTACGGAAATTTTTTAGAAACAATTTTCCTCCTAAAAAAAAAATGTCCAAAGATAAATTAACAATCGGTGCCATTTTGTTCCCAGAATATGATTTGTTAGATGTAAATGGTCCATTACGCATGTTTGGAGCATTAGAAAATGTAAACATTCTCATGATTTCTCAACATGGAGATAAGATAAAATCCGGTTCTAAAATTGGAAATTATACCGAATATAATTTTGGAAATTGTCCTGAATTTGATATATTATTTGTCCCAGGTACAAGATTGTGTTTTTTTATATATTATCTTATTTATCATTTGTTAATTAATTTATCCAATTAAATTTTACTAGGCGGTATGGGAACTAGAAAGGAAGTGAATAATCCTGTTCTCTTGGAATTTATTAAAAACCAAATACCCAAAGTAAAATACGTTTTAATCGTATGCACTGGTGCTGGATTAGTTGCTAAAACTGGTTTATTAGATGGAAAAAAAGCTACCACAAATAAACTTGCTTGGCAATGGGTGACTTCTCAAGGTATGAATAAAATTAATTTTTTATTGTGAAGTGTTTAAATTCATTTTAATATATTTTATAGGACCAAATGTTTTATGGAAAAAGAAGGCTAGATGGGTTGTAGATGGAAAAATTTATACTTCCGCTGGAGGTACAGTTATTATGTTAGATTCTTTGATATAAACTAAAATTTCTCTATTTAATATTTTTTAATTTAAATTTTTTTTTTTTTTCTTTAAAATAAAGTATCTGCCGGTATGCGTTATTTCTTCAAATTTTATTATTTAAAAAATAAATAAATAATAACAATGATTGTCATTTTTTTTTTTATAAAGGAATGGATATGGCACTTGGTTTTATTTCTGATGTATATGGAAGGAAGGTTGCTAATGACGTAGCATTAAAAACCGAATACGACTGGCATACCGATCCTAATTGGGATCCATTCGGTGAAAAAATTTAGGATATTATCTATTTTTATTTTTATTTTTATCTTTTTTTTTTCAATAAAAATAAATATATCTCTTGAATAAACACATCAAAATATTGTGTAAATGCTGAATTTTTTAGGTGAATGCTCCGATGGAAAGGGCAATATCTATTAATAAAATTTGTACCATTCCCGGTCGATCTATTGTGGGCTGTTGACGCAGTATTTACAGTTTTTTTTATGTCACGGACACTCGGTCAAACGAGTAACTTGATAATGCATTATACCCTATTATGTAAATATCGGAATATTTAGTAAAAAACAACCAAAATGACAAAGCTTTTATGGTCCTGATGCTTTATTTGTACATCCTTTCGATAAAACAACGGCTATATTCTCTTAAGTGATTAAAATTCCGTTTGTTGTGTTTGTTATCTAACCTTATTAAAAAAAAAATATTATATTACGCAAACTCGCCGTACAATTAATCACGATGATAATCAAATTGTTATTTTGTATATATGTATGTGAGAATTTTCCTTTAAGATTCAAAGAATTATGTTCGTAACTAAACCTTTAAGACGTTTACCAACTGCACTTAAAAACAATCGTGTCGTTCGCTTTACGACGTTTAGTGATCCTGGAAAAACATTTTTTAGCCGAAAGAGAGAGCTTATTGAGTTCAAGAAAGTATTTAACTATGAAGTTCCACGAATTAACGTCATCTTAGGACCTCCAAACACCGGGAAAACGACTTTAGTCCGCGAAGTAGTGAGCAGAGATAATTTCAAGCCTCTGTTTATTGACTGCCGTGGTGGACATTTTAACACACCAACGTGCTTGTACAATTCACTTATCTGTCAATTTGACTCATTTTTTAACTATGAGTTATCAGAAAGGAATGGTTATTCTGAAAAGACTGCTAAAGATATTATTGAATTACTTAATACTATTGGTGATTTTTTTCTAAGTTGGTCCTCTTGGAAAGGACAAAATGAACAACTGCCAATTTTAATTATTGACGAAGTAAACAAATTCAGCCAACTTGGTAGTTCAAAGGAAGGAGAAATTATTCTTGTGTCATTTCTTGATTGGCTAGTAAAAATTACAAAACAAGATAAAAAATTTCCTATAGTGCTTATCACTTCTGATTCATTATTTTTAGACTGGATTACACAAAGTAAATTTATTTGATAATCGTATTTGGTAGTGAAATTTTTCTACATATTCACATTTGTTTTACTGGCAGTGTTGGATATTTCACACGTAACCCCATATGTTGTTGGTGATTTAAGCAGAGATGAAGCTGAAGAATTCTTTGAAAAGCACGTTCTTCCCCGACATGGTACATTTCTTATTAAACTTTTTAAATTATAAAAAAAAAAAAAAAATATTATAGTACTTATATGATAATATTTGTTACCTGGAACAGATTCTAAGGTTCGTAAAGAACTTGAAGGTAAATTTAATCACATTTCCGAATTCACCGGTACACGCATGTTTATTATTAATCAGTTTGTTGATGAATACGAAATTCACAAAGGAGATTTCGAAAGTATGTATTAAACTTTCTTTTTAGAATTGGTATTCCTATTGACTCTAATGACTTGATTGCTAATAAAAATTATTTAACAGAATTTTCCGTATACCAGCAAGAATATGATCGGTTAATATGTGGTCTTTACCCTGAAGATCTTAATTTAGCTAATTTAGCAAGAAATACTCATGCCCCACTTTGGAATAAATCCGATTTCATTGAAACCATTAAAGCCATTGTGGAGAGTCATAAAAAAATTATTCTTGAACATGATTTAGTCAAATTAATTGGTAAAAGTAAAGTTGATTCACTTCTTAAATATAAATTTTTATATAAGAGACCGACCAATAATTTTGTCAATGATATTATTAACCCACCAAACAAACCAATTTTGACACCGATGAATCAGCCATCGATGTATGCAATGAAGAATTTACTAAAACGCAAATACTCAGAAATATTCTAATGTATTCTAATGTATTCTCTCATATAAAATAATAATAAAACTTGCTATATAATTGATTTACACGTAAAAATATCAAAAATTTTTTAAAGAAAATTGTTTGCCGATCACATAGTAACGAATACAAGATGTCATTATAAAAAAGCGAGGAACTTATAATATCAACAAGTGAAGGACATCCTTATACCTACTGCAAAGATGAAATGCATCTTTTATCTGTCTTGTGCAAGTAAAATAAAAAAATAAAACGAAACCAATCAAACTTGCCATTATCATGCAAAATCATCAAATGACTGTGATTAATTGATTTTATTGTGTTCAAAAAACACTCTTCTTGTAATATATATCTTTGCTGATAATTCTTTGTAAACAAAAAGTTTGCAGCATCGTAGTATCGTACATACACCTGGTGATGAAAAATCGAAATACCTTTATTATAACACATTAAGCAACAAATATGATGAAACAATACGGTGCTCTAATGCTCTTTGATAGTATCAAATAATTTGATAATTAATGAAGTATAATTTTTGCCCAATTCAGAGTTTTTATTCAACCGAGTTTGACAGTGATTACTTTGAAAGAATGAAACAAAAAAATGTACATATTCTAGAACGCCAGCTTCTCATCATTTAATGGCTCTAATACAGGTATTTTAAATTAGATCATGAACAAATAATTTTTCTAATGGCTAAATTAAGCATTTAGCAAGACTTTTTTCTGAGGCGATCGAGAACAACTATTTCAGCTTTATAACTGAACACGTGCACCGGTGCACAAAAGATCATATAATTTGCGAGTGATGTCGTACTAAACACGTGTACGATGAAAAGCAATATATATACATATTCTCTAGATAAAACGTATCATTAAAATAGGTGTCATTATATTCTTATTTCTCAAAAAAAAATGCAACAATAAACGATTTAATGTCTTTTCATTTCATCCAAATTGTTAATTAAACATGTTAACATATTCTTCTGATGAACCTACATATTACAGTATGTTGTATAACGAGGAAACTTCCTCACTTTCTGCAAGTTCGGTTAATGAAGATACGTTGATGGAGCTTATTAATTCTGCCGATGATGATGTCATTACTGTATTAACGAGGGTGAGACGATGTAGATATTGATGAAAATAGGTATTTATCATTGTTTAGATTACCCTTGTGGTTGACGAGAAACGTTACATATGATTTGAAATGTGAAATAATGTGTGATGGAAATTTTGGGAATTGACAATGGCGTTGTTATTGTTGTTGAACTGATCACGAAGTTGCACACACCGAATTTTCTTATCAACTTAGAACCGCCTTTGTCCTTTAAACCAAGTTGATAATATTGCAAGATCATGTATGTCTTAATTTCTCTCTATTCTATTTAGCGTTTTTTTTTATTATTTTATTTTTATTTTGGGAGGCCGGGTAATTATATTATAATAAAATTTCTATAATTAATATTTATGTTCACATTTTAAATTTGATCAATTTGATCAATTTTAGAAACGCATCACGATCGTAGGAGGAGAAACTTACTTACGTATCGTAGAAGATATTTTTTATTTTTTATTATTAAGAGTGAGTAGCTAGGCTCAGTTGTACAAGTGGGGATACCAGACTCCTAAACCCACGTGATCCAGTAGTAGTATCGTATTTCATCAGGATATAAATTATTTTTAATCTAAATTTGCAATTGTTTGTAGGGTAATCCTTGACCCACGATTGTTTGCGAAGTAGCCGGCTCGCGAGTATAAACCGGCAAGTTAATAATTTCTGGCTACTTCCAGATAAAGTTGAAGACGTGATAGTTATCAAACTGTGGCATTGGATCAATCGCAAACGAAATATAAATGGACAACCCTTGCGCCGCTTAACCGTAAGTATTATGAAACTACATCATTTTTCCATTTACCTAACTGACTAGTTTCCTTATATTTTAATAGTGTTACAAATATTGTCGACGTAGAAGTCATCAGTATATTTACTTTTCTGCTTGTGTCATAAAAGTACTCATCACTATGTATAATAGAAATTCACACAGTTGGGATAGTGGTCAAGTATTAATTGCATGGGACGAATGGAGGAGAATATTGTTTAAGATGTTAGTAGTTTTGATTATGTAAATAATCAAGGAGTCGATAATCAAGAAGTTAGTAGTCAAGGGGAGGATGAAGAAGGATGTGAGTTTGGGACGCTTCTTGCACGCCAGAGACCATATAACGGCTGCTTCGGCAAAGAGGGATGCGTACATTGAATATAGAGCCTGCTTGCATATTCAGTCGTCCTCCCATATAGTCACATCCTTCAGGACAAAAAAAATGGTGTGATTATAAAAATTATACATGATGTGATTAAAGGGAAGGTTTTTTTAATAAGTTTATTAGTAACTTGGGATTAATGTAAATGTGCTTATAAGGAAGTCGTGATTATGCGGTGTGACTATATGGGCCTCCGTATCCATTACAAGCCAACGTAGTAATAGATTTGTATGATATACAGCAGGCTATATTCCGTCAAATGTAATAAGATGGTATTTATCATGTTAACAGTTAGTATAAAGTGCCGGAAACTATTGCGTTGATAAAAATTACATTTAAATCTAAAACTACTTTATGTAATTTAAAAAATTGTACTGCATATTTGAAGTAATAAAAATTCAAGTGATTTTGCAAACAAATGACAAAATGATAAAATCACAAATATACCAAAAGTTATAAATGAGGCTCAATATGAGAGAACTTTATTAATTTTCAGAGAAATGAAAAATGACAAGATGAAAAAATGATAGAGGATTGAAATTTGCAAGCGAAATATACGATTTATCTCCAAGGAGAGTTACATAAAAATAAATAATACAAATAATCCGTAACCAAGAAATATATGATAATTTTCTATCTTTTTTACCGCTCATTTCCTATATTTTTTCTCTAATTCTTCTCAAAATTCTTAAATCTTACTAAACCCTTTTCCTTTTGAAACCCCTTCCGCATACCAAACACTCGTTGAACAAGAGGTTCTAAATCATGAGATCTGTCTTTTGAGACAATAATATTAATATTTCAAAAAGCTTAGAAACGGAAAGACCTGAAACGGTTGGAAAATCAAGGTTACGTTCGATTTCTTTTTCATTGAAATATACTTTTGAAAGTAAAATTTCGCTGTTGATCCATATGAAGATGTGTTTCAACACCTTTATCACTGCCCATAATTAACAGATCATTGAGAAAAAGCCAATCAAGTTTTGTATCTCATTATCATAGTATATAGTTTTTTCACAGATTGAAGGAAATAATTCAAGCATTTTTTCTGCATCTTTGATCAATCATGGAGAAACTAATAATCAAAGATTATTAGAATTTAATTCCAATAACGATTTCTTTTTGTCCCTTTCTTCAATTTTTGGTTTTTTGTATTTAATAAATTAACATTTAAAATAAAATCTTAAATCTAATTCAAATCGAGTACTCGTTAAAGCGTAGCAGATTATCTTTTGTTTCTACCACTAAAGAAATACTAAATAAATTCATTCCATTATGTAATTTGATGAAGCATAGTCAAGAAAAAATGTCCAGCTGATGGCGATATCATAATTTCTGCAGGTCTGATTCATTAAGCGGAATTTGTGCAAATGGTTCCATATTATCCACCGAAGTTGTTAACAGTGGCAAATCCTGAGATGTAGTAGTAGTCTCATTAGCAAGTTTGCTCAAAACGAGACTCAATTGGGGCGCCGTACTCGGAAATATTGTAATGGCCGATCGCTTTTCATTAGAATCCTAGATTAAAAATTATTTTATGGCGGTGACTTGATTTCACTTATTGTTCTTGGTTCAAACACTTAAAAAAATGAATACTGTATGATGAATTCTTCATTTGTGTTGAATTCACTGATATTAATTATTATAGTATTAAATAAATTTCAAAGGAGTGTTCAAAATTAGAGTGTTAGATACCATAGACATATAAATTGGCATCGAGGAAAGTATTTTTCCTGATGTATTGACAGGAAATAAAGTATTTTTCCTGAAGTATTGGCACAGAAAGCCCTCTCTTTTAAAAATGATTCATATATCAAATGAATTATTATTGTTTGGACAGGTTTTGAGCACAAAACTATTAAGAAATGAGAGACTACAGCCACGAAATGCCTCCATACGAAATCGAGAACTGACGCTAGAAGTGGTTAAAAATCTGCATTTTTTCGGTATGGAAGGCCTTCGTGGAGGCAATGTCTCAGTCTACCAATATCTCAAATTTGGTATTTATTATTTTTATCTTTATTTTATAATCGTATTAAATAATTTTTTTCGTGTAACTCACGTGCCAAATTATGTTTATTTAACAATCTGTACTTTTCCAACGAAATTTTCAAACCAAAATAAATTAGCCGGGATTAAGTGACAAAATAAGTGAAGACGCGCAAGCGAAAAACATGAGACGAAATTCTGGACAAGGTTTTACGCAATCCTTTTCCCTTCATGCATAATTCACAATATTAATTTAGAATGCCAAATTTGTCAATTAATGATTTTTTGTCGCGAAGAACGAATAACAGGAAATGTAGTAACTGGAAGGTTGAACAATGAACAAGATATGGTTGACATTGGAGACACTTATCAGGGTAAGAAGTTATGCTTCTTCTCTGAGGGCGTCATGCTAGTCACAATCTAGTTCTGTGATGGAGGCTTTATGCTATTCCTGTAACAGGAAATGAGGAGTCATGCTTTTTTTCTGGGGGCACGCTAGTTATAGTCTAGATCAATGTGATGCCAGTGATGGAGGTTTTATGCTATCTTGTAACAAGGGTTGAGGCGTCATGCTTCTTCTCCGAGGGCGTTATGCTAGTTACAGTCTAGATCTATGTGATGGAGGCTTTATCTCCTGTAACAAGGAGTGAGCCGCATACTTCTTTTCTAAGGGAGTCGTTATATTAGTTACAGTCTAGATCTATCAATTGATTCTTGGACTATACGTCTTCCAACCTTCCAGTTTATCGTGCTTAACTTTGATCGAATTTTCTTTGTTATACTCGTGATGAAATAAATGGGCGAGTTCAGCTGCGACAGGTGAACAATCAGATAAATTAATTCACTATTCATTGAATCCTCTGGGACTTGAAAATTATTCTCGTACAATTTTGGCTGCGAAGCCTGAATCCAATTCCCTCCGGAAGTCATTGGTGGCGGGCGGCTAGGCATTAGTATCGAGACATTTGTTTTTGTGAAGCGAATCTACATGAGCAAGAATCAATAATTTCCTTGGTTACTCATTGGGTTCATAATTTTGACGTGTATGCCGCGTACGGTGTGACGTGCGACATATCGGAGAATTTCCAAGAAAATATATTTGATGATACGCTTTAGGCCTTTTCTCAAGAAAATAATAATGTGGACTAACAATCAACTTCGAATTTTAATTAGTGAGATAATGAAAATAACGAACGCTACCACAGTCTTTTTGGGAACAGAAAACAATTTTTTTGGAAAAGGGCATCTATAAAAAACAATCTTTACTTGGGATACCTTATTCAGGAAAACATTGCAAAGAAAATTTTCAAAGAACAGTGTGACTACGAGGTAAATGTCCATTCATTGAAACTTGATTATTAATCCTTCTTGGCGCGAATTAAATCATCATTTTTATTAGCTAATGCATTTATATCTATACGTTATGGGTTACCCAAAAGCAGAAAGACTAGAAATTGCATCATGTATTATGAATTTAGTGCAGGTTTTTGGAAAAATCAGGTGGACATTACACATCAAAAAGAATATATTAGATCAATTTTCTCGCAATTCCAACCATTTGTCAAGAAAAATATTGATTTCCTTGAAAATTTATATAAACAAGGATATTTTGATACCACTTAACAGAGATTTGAATACGGGAAGAGATTGTCAAAGTCCTCCACCACCAAATGTAACTCAGGCTTTCTTCTAATACAATTCAACAATAATAGATCATGAAAGATAAACCACTTATAGTTTACAGTCTCAGATATTTGATATTAATGCTATACAAGTCAGATGAAAGTTTCTTGGTTATTTATAAAATAATAAGCAGTTCTAGAATATGATAATAAAATTTTAATATTACTACTAAAATAAGACGTTTTTTTGCGTGTTAAAAATATAAGCGATATATATAAAAAAGTTTATTTTCATATTAGAAATATAAATAATATAAATATAAATACAAAATAAATTTCTTTCCCACTTTACAGTTTAAATATACTACAGCATATATAGCAAATAAATATATAAAATAATTTTCTAAAAAAAAAAATTATGATCCCTCCAAGGTTTAAAAAATCATTTTATACAATCTCTTGTAAAATCAAATCTTATAAAATGACACTATCATCTCGTAAACCTTTAAGTCGAGCCAATTCTTCTTCTAATTTCCTAATTTTAGCATTTTCCCAAACATTATTACTAACTTTATCCCACCAACTTATATTTAATAATTCGGTCATACCTTCTTGCATCATATTTCTGACAACATGACCTTCTTTTTGAACTTTACCTAAAGATTTTTCCAATTCATTAACTCTACTGACAGCTTGATTAAGTCCCCTTGTTTTACTTTCTAATTCAATTCTTAATCCCATTACTTCTTTTTCTAATTTTAAAATATTATCTCTAGATTCTTTCCATAATTTTTCGGAATCTTCAGCTCTTCTACTAGATTCTAGTACAGATCTATTAACTTGTTCAAATATTTGTTGATGATGACTTAAACTTGATTGTAAATTTCTTAATTGTAATTTATCGTTTATTTTTTCTTTTCTATAATGTTCTAATTCATTATTAATTTTTTCTATCTGTTTATTTGATTCTTTTAATTGTGATTCCGCCGTAGTAGCTCTTAACCTTAAAGCAGCCAATTTTGCAATAACTCTTTCACTGGCTTTTTCATTAGCTTCAGCCCTTGATAATTCAACTGAAGATTGAGATAATTCGGATAATTGATTTTCTAATAATTTATTCTCTGATACAACTTTAATTAATTCATTTTCTAAATCTTTTGTTTTATTTGTTTCAACATTTGAAAATTTCGATTCAGATAATTTCACCAAAGTTTCCAATTTTGTTTTAAAATATGTCGCTTCTTGTATAGCTGCAGCTCTAGCTCTTTCTGAAGTATTAATTTTTTCTGATACAATTTGAGCTTGATTTGCTATAGATGTTTTGGCTTTTAATAATTTTTGTCTCATTTGTATTATAGCTTCAATAACTCTATTTTGATCTGTATTAACATCATCTATATTATCATCATCTACTTCATTAATTAACATTTGTTCAATTTCTCCTATTGAATTATCAATATCATCATTATTATTAACATTATCAAATAATTCGGGTGTATATCCTGATTTACGTGCCGAATCCAGTTCAGCTTTATACCATGATTCTCTTTGTTTTAATTCTTCTATATTTGATTTATGTTGTTCAAGTTCTTGTATTAAATTCTCATCGTCTATATTAGCATATGATTGAGGTGGTGATGTCGAAATTATATCCACATCATCATCATCATTCTCATATATTGAACTTGCACTCTCATTTTCATCTATTTCAGGTTGAATTTCTTCCTCATTATTATCATCATTATTATCATTGTTTAATTTAAAATCTGATACAGAAGAATTAGATGATTGTGATCGTGAATGTTGTAATACTGGTGTATCTTCATTACTTCTTTTATAAATAACTATTTCACTAGGTGAAGAAGGAGCAGATAAATCATCGGAAGAATCAGATAATTTCGTTCGATTTAATTTTTTTCTTAATTGTAATAAATTATTTCGATCTATATCCTCAGAATCTATACTCATACATAAAGGAGAACCATTATTTGGTTTATTACCATTCATAGGTCTTGCACCACGTGGACGAATTTCTTTACCATTTCTACGATTTGATAATGAACTATTACTACTTTGATTTGAATCTGATGAAGCTATAGAATCTAATGAATCTCTTTTCGTATTTCTATCAATTGAAGTAGTTGAAACAGCTGGTAAAGTAGGAGAACAACTATTTCTAGTATTATTTAATATATTTCGAATATTTTTAATTTTTTCTTCATGATTATCATCTGTTTTATTCAATTCTTTCTTTCGTGAAGTTAATAAAGTTTTAGGACTTGTTATTATTGGAATTGTTGGAATTATTTCAGATATCATACTTGTATTATTAATTAAAGTCATATTTTGATTATCAATAGAAGTTGGAGATTCTGTAAATGGTGAAGTTGTACTTTGATCATCTGTAGATTCCGTAATAGGCGATATTGCTTTTTGATCATCAATAGAATCTGTCGTAGGTGAAATTGTCTGGTTATTGGTAAGAGATTTCAATATTGGTGGAGAAGATTTCAATATTGGCGAAGAGGATTTTTGATCATTAACCAAATTCTTTTTTGATTCTGTTATTGGAGAAACTGTTTCTTGATCATCAACCAAAGTCTTTTTCGATGACAAATCCGTTGTATCTGTTGATTCTGTTATTGGAGAGATTGATTCTTGATCATCAACCAAAGTCTTTCTCGATGACAAATCTGTTGTATCTGTCACTTCCGTTATTGGTGAGATTGATTCTTGATCATCAACTAAAGTCTTTCTCGATGACAAATCCGTTGTATCTGTTACTTCCGTTATTGGAGAGATTAATTCTTGATCATCAACATAAGTCCTTTTTGAAGCTAATTCTGTTATTTCTGTTATTAACGAATTTATTTGATCGGATAATTCTGTTGTTTCTGTTACCGAAGAAGTTATTTCTTGATCATCAACCAAAGTCTTTTTCGATGACAATTCTGTTGTTCTGTCGTTTCTGTTGTTTCTGTTAACTCTGTTATTGGTGAGATTGCTCTATGAATATTATTAGATGTCTTTTTAGAGGATAATTCTGTTACTTCTTTTATTGGCGAGTTTGTTCTTTGATTATTTACCAAAGCCCTTTTTGATGATTTTTCTGTTATTAAAGGTGGTTTCTGATCATCAATAGAAGTTCTCCGTAAAGAAAGTTCCCTCGTTGGTGAAGTTGACATTTGATTATTTACCAAAGTTCCTTTCGAGGAAAATTCACTTAATCTTTGATTTTCGTTAGGAGTTCTTCTTGATGGAAAATCTGTCATTCGTGAATAATTATCTGCTGAAGCTCTTCTTATAGGAAACACACGTGGGGAATAATTTGTTGGTAATTCTTGTGCTGTTGGCTTTTTATAATTATCAATAGAAATTCTTCTCCGTGACAACATTCTTGGAGCTGAAGTAACTGGTAATTCTTGTGAAGCAGTACGACGATGCATTCGTTGATTTGATAGTTGATTATTAGTATTTTTGTAAATTTCATTTGAAGTTGTAGTCGTGGTTGAATCTTCCGGAATTACTCCTTGAATTTCAAAATGTTCTCTTTTAAATGATGTGTCTTGTCCAGACTTCATCCAAACATTCATATCTTGTGAATAAATACTTGAAATACGATTATTATTATTGTTATTATTTTTATTATTACTATTATTATGATTATTGAGAGAATGATTACGTGATAGAGGTTTTTCATTAGGACCTATTGTTTGTAATGTTTGTAATTCATATGAACTATATTCAGAGTTAGTAGGTGAATAATTTTGTGATTGAAAAATATTAGCACCTTCATGGAGCTTTCCTTTCAAAACTGTAGGAGGAGGTGGTCCTTGTGACATTATTATTCCACTAGTTATAACTTTTGGTTGTGAAATTGTTGGAGGTGATATCATTGATACTGGACCTCGATCTACTTCTTTACCTTTAGATGATTTTTGAGAACCAGTTGGTGGAGGTTGTGATGGAGGAGGAGGAGATTGTAATTGTTGTTGTGGTTGTGGTGGTGGTGGTGGTAATGGAAGTGATGGAGGTTTGGGTTGTGGCGGTATAATTGATGAAGATGACATGACTTTTTCTAATTCTGAAGAATTTTCTTCCGGAATTTGGTCAAGTACTGTTCTTGTTGGACGAGTTTCTTTTGTTTTTGCTTAGAAGAAAAAAAAAAAATTGAAGATTTTGTTTGTATTAGTTGAATAAGATAAAAAATGTTTATAATGTATTAGTTGCTTAAGCTATTATGATTATAACTTACAAGCATCAGAAGATTGAGATGACATCGGTCGTGGCGGAGGGGATAAACCTTGTTGTATTGGATTTATTGAATTCTCTTCTGAAGTTTGTTGAACTGTTGGTTTTGTTGATTGAGTTCCAGTTGGAATTTTTATTTTCGCTGTGAATCATGAATTGGATGAAATTGGGTAAATAGGGTGAATTGGGTGAATTATGTACGTGAATTACGAGAAAAGATAATAGAAAAAAAAAATAAAGAAAAAAAAAATAAAGAAAAAAGAAAGAAAGAAAAATAAAAATAAAAATAAAATAAAATAAAAATAAAATATAAAAAAAAGAAAAGAAAAGAAAAGAAAAAGGAATTCAATAAAGAAAATATTTTTTTAAAAAAAATAAAGGAAATGAATGAATTAAATTAGTAAAGAACATGTTTCTTGGAATCGCGCTTTTAAGTTAATTACAACTTACAAGCATCGAAAGGTAAAACTATAGAATTTTCTGGTTTTGTAGGATTCTTTTCCGAAGGATTTGGTTGTGCTAATTTAGTACCAGTCGGAAACTTTATTTTTGCTATTGAATCAAAAAGAATATAATATATATACATATATATATATATACAAATATATAAAAAAATAATAATCTATTTTACAAACTAATTTTAGAATTATAAACTTACAAGTATCTAAAATATGTATTGTTCCATCTTCATCTGGTCTTGTATGAAAAGAATCACCACCAAAAATATAAACTTTATCTTGAGATAAAGTCATTGTAAGTCCAAATCGAGGACTTGGAGATGGACCAAGATTCGGGAATTTATACCATCTTAAATCTAGAGCGAGAGTTGAAGTGAGAGTGGAAGTAGAAGTTGGAGTTGGAGTAGGAGTGGGAGTGGGAGTGGGAGTGGGAGAGTAGAAGTAGAAGTGGAAGTAGAAGTGCGAGTGGAAGTAGTAGTAGTAGTGGAAGTAGAAGCGTAGAAGCGAAAGTAGAAGCGGAGGGAGAGAAGGAAAAAAAAAATTAAATCAGAAAAAGAATAATAATTATAATAATAATAAAACAGGATAAACGATAAATTTAAAAAATATATTTTTTTTTACTTGATATTCGGAAAGCACATAAATCTCCCAATTCATATCCTTCTTTTACTCTTCCACCAAAAATATACATAACATCATTTACAATTGTAGCACCATGATATTCTCTTGGAGTTGGTATATACCCTATACAAGATAATTCTGTCCAAACATTTTCTTGTATATCATAACACCATGTATCATTATAATACGTATCTCCATCACTACCACCAAATCTAAAAAAAAAAAAAAATTTATTATTTTTATTATTAAAATATATACTGTATAATATAAAATGGGTATTTTATACTTACATATATATTTTATTTTCATATACACAGGAAACATGACCGCTTCTTGGAGGTGGAGGTGAATTATTTGGAATAATAAAACTCCATGAAGGTAAAACATTATTATGTCCTAAAAAAAAAAGAGATGTACAAATTTTAATCATTTGTTTTACATACTTGTAGAAGGGATGCACGAGTTAGATATTTGATTTTGGATATTTGTAGACGGATGCATAATTAAGGTATTTGATTTTGGATATTTGTAGACGGATGCATAATTAAGGTACTTGATTTTGCATATTTGTAAGCGCGGATGGCTATTTATAGGCGGATGCTATTTGATTTTGCATATTTGTAGGCGATGGCTATTTGTAGGCGGATGCTATTGTAGACGGAAAGACCCATATTCTCCAATCCTATACCTTATTATACCTTAACCTTAACATCGTCTTATACCTCATCTTATATCTAACATATTATAATATAAATTTTTTTATTTACCTTTGCCTAAAGATAATTTAAATTTATTCTTCTTCTTTTGAAGTTTAAAATTCTTTATATCAAAAGAAATCAAATCATTTAAATGATTCATATAATCTTGACCACCAAAAATATATACAGTTGTTCCGATAAGTGTAGATGTATGACCATATCTTCCATCAGGAAGACTACCAGACATTGATGGTTTACTCCAAACAAATTTCATATCTTTAGCATCTATATAAATTTAAATGAACAATATATAAAATTAATTTTAATCAATTTAATTTAAATTTAATTAACTAATAAAGAATAAAGGATGCATCATTTTTTTTACCAGTATCAAGGATATAAATGTCATTATCTAATTTTTCATTAGAATTATCAAGTTTACCACCGAAAACTAAATTTCATTGAGGGGAAAAAAAAGATAAATTAATTTATTATGTTGAAATCCACAAAAAAAAAAAAAAAATTGACATAATATATCCATAAATTTTTTACCAAAAAGATTTGCTCCAACGTTTACTTGAGTATGAAGACATCTAGGTTTCGGTATTGCACCCGATGAGAAAACAGGTAGAACGTTAAGTGTATCTAATAAATTGATTACAAAAGTATTAATAAATATTAAATATATATAATCAAAAGTATATATGACCAAAATAAATAAAAAAAGAATCAACTAAACCAAGTAAATTTAATAAATCAAACTAAAATTAAATTGATCTAGTCAAAATACCATGAATTATTTAATCTTTTGATAACTTTTAATAACTTTTTAATAAATTTTGATATATTTTAATATATTTTGATAAATTTTGACAACTTTTGATAGTTTTGATGAATTTCGTAAATTTTAATAATTTTTCAATAACTCTCAATAACATTTTTAACAACCCATTTAACAAACCATTTAAAAACCCATTCCCATTTAAAAAACCCAATAATAACTAAAAAACTCTCAATCACTTACTAATTTCAATAGTGAAAACATCATTAGTTGTTTTATCATGAGAAATACCACCAAATAAATATAATTTATCATTAATAGTATATTGACTCGAAGATAAATTATAACGGGGAAAAGGGTTAAAGGAACTTAATTTTTTTTGAGACCATGGATAAGTCTTATTATTTTGTTTAGATTTTGTTGATGATGATGATGGTGATGGTGATGAACTCATTATCTTCAAAAAAAAATTTTGATCCAATTAAAATAAAAAAAGAAAGTATAAAAAGTTTTTTTTTTAAAATATGATGAATAAATTTCCTTTTTTTTATTATTATTATTATTATTATTATTTCCCAATTAATTTGTCCTTTAAAAAAAATGAATAATACTAAATTACCAGCGAGCCAGCGTGGTGGTTTTTTCGAGAAAAAATTTTTAATGGTAAAAAGTTTATTAGAATTTTCTGCATCATTATTTATATAGGTTATTGGTATAATAATAATATGCATTGATACACAAAGTATGACTTAATACGTATAATTATAGAGCATGATGATTTGGAAGATCTACAAAAAAAGCTACCAATGAATGAATATTTTAAGCTAACAACATTACCAATTTTATATTTTACAGTCGTTTAGTACTACTTATTGAAACACTTGTTACCCTTCAAATTTTCTAAAAAAAAAATTAGAGAACAATTATTTTATTTTTAAGAGAAAATTTTTGGAGTTGGAGTGTTACAGAAATCAAAAATTTACCCACGTCATGACGCAAGAAAATTCTTTTTTCGCGGGGAAAAAAAAATCCTGTTTAAAGATAAAAAAAGTAAAAAAATATTAAAATAAGGGATAGACTTTTGTATAACAGGTTTATCAGGTTTATCACGGAGTTACGCGAAAATCAGGATTGGGACTATTAGGTCGAGTTTTCTAATGTTAAAAAAATAACAATGTTAAAATATTATGGATTAGTGACGGGCCATTTATAATATTAATAAGGGCTAATTCTACTGATGTCATTCGATCCATTACTAATTTGTTAAAAATTTCAAATTGCGCCTTCAAAATCATAAGATTGTGACTAAATTTGTAAAAAAATATTTATATATAATTTTGAAACGGATTAAAAATGTTTAAAGGATTCACTAAAATTCACTAAATTCATATAATATGTTTCAGAGATGGTTTTGAATTATTTCACATTACGGATTGTAAAAAAAATATTTGAGGTTTTGAGGTATACTTGTATTTATATTACGGCATCAATATAATTTAGATGATCTTCAATCAAAGATTACAAAGATTAACAGGGATTACAATATTTACAATATTAACAAAGATTACAGGATTAACGGGTAACTGGAAAGATGCCAATCAAAACATTTCAGAATTTCTTGGTAAAAAAAAATAAATACCAATAATTTCATTTGATTTTTAATGAAACACAAGAAATTGAATAATATCATTCATATGATCAGATGACTTATTAAATATTTATTAAATATTTGGCTATTTTTTATTCAAATTTGGATTTTGTGTTCATCTTGTGATTCAATTCACCCAATAAAGTTTTAAAGATGAGATTTATTACACGAACTTCCCGATTGGAATGTAACCGAACCGTGCACAATATTAACAACAATGTTAAGAAAAAGAGAAATAAAGAAAAAGGTAAATGGATACTGTACAAGTAAGTATATTTCTTTTTATATATATTATATAAATATATATATATTTTTTTTAAAAAAAAGGTTTTTCTTTCTTTTACTTAGATTGTTGGTAGATATTAGATACCCAGATACCTAGATACTATATCTGATATATTAGATATACCATAATATTTTAATCGTTTTTAAAATTCATTCTAATAATAATAATTTATTTGAATTAGTTACTTCGGAAAAAAAAATTTTTTTATGTAGGTACAAAATTTACTCGTGAACTTTGTAATTGTAAAAATTTGTAACAATAACCTAATCACAATAATCCCAATTTTGAAATCTTACGATATTTACGTTATATGATTCATGCATATCAATTATAAAATACAAAAATACAATATAATAATATATAATAATATATTATATTATATCCCCAAGTTATCGTATGATTTTTTTTTTTTTTTGTCGTTTTATTTTGACAACTTTTTTAACGAACTTTGTGGATTCGTTAATTTTCTTATGTAAAAATAATCACATGATTAGTTATCAAACCACGGAAAAACTTGCTATTCAAGGAGAAAAATAAAAATATTTTTTTTTTTTTTTTTTGTTTAATTGTTACCGAAGTAATTTTTTTCTAATTAGAAAGAATTTTGATGGGTTACCATATAAAATCAAGAAAGCCACAGTTGCTGATCACTTTTTTTATCATATAATGCATCTGTCATAATTTTATATTAATAAATAATCACATTCATAATTATTTTATGAATTATAAAGAATAAAAAAAAGTATTAAAATTTTTTTTTGAATCCTTTTTAATTAAATAATTTTTTTTAAATTTAAAAATATAATAAATATAATTTAAGATGATCATCATATATATATACAGTATATATCTATAAATAATCTATATATATATCAACTTAATTTCCGTTCTGAACTTTATCCATAAAACATGGTAACTGTTATGAAAAGGAAAGGAAAGAATGTCAAATTACAATCTACGCTAAATAGAAAATTGATTTATAATATGCAACTGGTCCAAAACCTCTAACGTAATAAATAAATGAATTTACTTGTTTTAGAAAAAATTTTCATAGAATCTAAAAAAAAATTGTTTGCCAAGACTTTTGTCCTATGGTGGCTGAGCGTTACTCTTATTATTTAACAAGATATGGAGTTACATGATGCATAATGGTTCATCATTAAAGTATCAAGATGTTTGTTGTATAAATTTAATTGAATAACTATAATAGGAGTGGTATGATATAAAATTCATCCAATATAATACAATAATTCTTTATGCTTAAAAACTTTTAACCGCTGTCGGTCAATTTTTATTTTTTTATTTTTTTCAGCTTTTTACTTTCTTTTTAATTTTTCACGATTTAAAAATTTTTTTTTTTTTTAAAAAAAAAATGGAATCGATTATTAAATCATACAGTCTCTTCCTATCAATATTATTCATAATACTATTATTTTTCGAAGATTCAATATTTGCAATAAAGTTAGATTCCATGATTGTACTTGGTGACTCTTATTCCGGTAAAAAAATGAAAATATTTTTATATTTTTTTACATTTTCCCTTTCATTATATTAAATTTCATTTTTAATAAAAAAAAAAAAAGATAATGGGAATGGAGTATTTAAAATATCAGACGGTTCCTTCCCCCCTCCTCCATATTTTGAAGGAAGATTTACTAATGGTCCAGTTTGGGTCGAATATTTATCAAAGAAACTTGGTTTGAATTCAGTCAATTATGCTGCAGGCGGCGCAACAATAAAGTAAATTTATTTTTTTATTTATTTTTTTTAAAAAAATTTTGGTAACTTAAAAAACATTTCATTTATATTTTTATAGTTCTTTGTCTGTACCTAGTTCATCTGGATTTAATGATGAAATTGAAGTTCCTGGGATTAGACAACAAGTTAATGATTATGTGAATGAAGCACATGAAGAAGGAATAAGTTATAAAGGAAATGAAAATTTATATGTGGTAATTATTATTATTATAAATATTATTATTATTACTATTCTCTTTTAAGATGATCAAATTAATTAATTTGTATTCATTTAAAAAGGTTACATCTTTTGGTAATGATTATATTCATACAATTAGACATGGTCCAGGAATAGTTAGTCCTGAACAAGTAATCGGTCAATTTATAACTAATTTACAAACATTATATATTGAAGTTGGAGCTGTTAATATATTGGTTACAACTTTACCAAATATTGCTGATTTTCCGGGATTTTCAAGATCAAATGAATCGGAAAGAGCTTTTTTATCAAAACTTGTTAATGATCATAATATGTTACTTAAACAAGCACTTGACGTTTTAAAATTTGATTTTGGTAAAATTAAAACTTTTGTAATTGATATTGAAAAAGTTTTTGAAAAATTTTCTAATCAAAATTCAAATGTACCATGTTTAACTATTAATCATTATGGTACTCATGTTTGTGATTATCCTGATGATTTCTTGTTTTGGGATAATCTTCATGTTACTACTATTGTACACGAAGCAATTGCTTTAGAAGCTTATAAATTATTAACATGAGAAAAAATATTTGAAATATTTTGAATTTTTTTTTTTAACCTTTCAAAACTTTCAAAACTTTTTTCAAAATTTTGAACAATCTTTTTTTTTTTTAATTATTAATTATTATTATCAAAAATAATAGATTATTGTATAATTTAAAATAGAATCCATTCATCATATATATCTAAAAGCTTTGTAAAAAGGAAATTCTCTCTCGAAGGGAGTAAAATTTCGAAAAAAAAAAAAAAATTTACTGCATTATAAAAAACTCTAAATTTACTTCTTGTATGCCTAACTATTTTTTTAAGTGATTCCTTTTTAATAAATCATAATACATCTTTTATAAATTAAATGTTTCAATCCTTTACTTTATTTGAGATAGATCTGATAAAAATCGTCGGTTAGGTCGTACAAAAATTAAAATTACTCGGGTACCTGGGAATTCTAGAAAACGCGCATTATCCAACCGGATAATTCGATTGTTATTTGAATATCCCTTCCATCTATAGGGATATGACAAATTCGTTTTTGATACCTTTTAGTGTATTAGTGTATTTAGCATCAATTGTTTAATTGTTTTCCCTAGGCACCTAAGCAACTTAAATCTTTTGTTTTACCATGTGATCTGTGATCAACGATTTTTAAGGTCGATTATCATGTGATTGTGAAATGTCAAATAAGTACTTGTAGAAGTTGTAGTAATTGCTGATCGTGTGATATTATTAATGGTTTCACTCGGATATAATGATTAACCTTTAATTTGCAACATGTCAAGATGATTAGTGATGACCTCAAAAATTACATGCAGAATATCGTTTCATGAATTTTCGTTTTTTTTTAAAAATAACCGCTTATTAAATTATTAAAAATATATTATAATTCATTATCATCGATAAATGGAAAAGTGTACAATAATTACTAACATGTAATTCATTATCAGTTATTAAAACTGTACTATATCTTGTTGTATATTTATTATTATTATTATTATTTTGCGCAAAGCCAGTATTATTTTATTATTTTTGCGCAGAACGGTCTTTCCGATTATTACAACATACCGGTAAATCGTCCAAAGATACAGGTTGCCGGAGTATCTCAATTTTAACAATTTCATCTACCCAGCCATTTTATCTACCCATGCAAAAAAAAAGCCTAATTATTGCAATTAATTAATCATTATGACATTTAACAAGTATAAGTAAAAAAAAAAAATTTTTTTTTTTTTACACTTTTTTTTTCTCGCTTAAACAACAAATTCTTCTTTTTTTAAAAAATAATAAATAAATAAACTTCGCATCATGCTTTCTACGTTAAAAAATATCTCCCTAAAGTCTATTGGAAAAAGTATTTTTTCCAAAACGGCCGGTAAGTCATACTTTTTTTTTTGATATCACATACAGTACATGTAAATTATGGTTTGACCTGTTTAAAAGAGGAATAAAGAATAATGTTTTATGAAAATTTTATTAAAATAACATAATTTTTTTAAATTAGGTACAATTGTCGGATGTACTTTCGTTGCGGGTGTAGGAGCTGGTTCGGTATATATTAATTACAAGATGACTAAAGATCAAACGGATTCAATCAATGAAGTAAGTGAAAGATTTATTTATTTCTATAATAAAGCATAAAATTATTTAATTAAGTATCATTTAATATAGAAACTCAAGTTAATTGATGGTCGGTTAACCGCAATTGAAAAACGTCCTAACTATTAGCTTTATGGTATTTTTAAATAAATGGTAGTGGGTTTTAAATAAATGGTATTGGTTTTTTAAATAAATGGTAGTTGATATTCAAAAAGAAAGATATTGTAAACATGTAAACATCAAAGATCCAAATTAAATTTAATTCAGGATTATAAAGTTAAAATATTTACTCTTTTTTCATATGTGTGAAACACCAATCTAAAATTTCAACATGGCCAAACAGATCTTTCGATAAGTGACAACTTAATGAACTTATTATTATGTCCTCTCCCACAGATGATTCTTCGCGAACAATAGACCATCTCTATTACTGAATTTATAGGTAGGATGTAATAGTAAGGGATTTTTTTGCAGGGATACTTGCTAGGAGTCCTTCTCGTATCATATACATATATTTTAAGCGGATCCCAGCCAAGAATCTGGATCTGGGCTGGCAAATATTCAAAAATTTTAAAAATTTTCCAGATTGTGGTCCGAGCTCGGTGTAAACCCGGATTTTCATTAATTCTACTAGCTGAAAATTAAAACTGATCAACCATTAACATTAACTATGGGCAAGCTTATTTCCTTATATATTTTTAAATAATTTAATGGTCTTTCGTTACAAAATCATATTTAACTGTGCCACCGATTGATTAAATATTTAACTGTGCCACAGACTGATTACCATGATTTTTTACTTAAACATTTTTATAATGCATTTCAAAAATTTTTGTTTTGGTATTCATTATATGTATCTTTATGCATAAAAATTTCCATTCATTTTTATTTTTTTTTTTTTTAATAATAATAAATAAGGTAAATAAAGAATATCGAAATTGTTGTGCTACAATAGTATAAATTATATGAATTTATTAGTTAACTAAATTTTATGTTAATCATGTAAATCTCTACATTTATAACTATAAAGAATTCCAGTTCAGGTTTCAAATTTAAAATGTAAGGCCTATATATTTTTTCTGTATAATGCAATAATGATGGAAGCACCAACGCATATAATCTATATACATTTTTTGATCACTTTAACGTAAATTTTTTCATACCAAATGCTAACTCATCTCATAAAACCAATTTAAATATTTTTTCTTTCCTTGAAAACCTTTTTTTGTAATCTTATTTTTCAATTTTTCCCTTCAACTTTTCAACTTTTCAACTCTTCAACTCTTCAATTATTCAGCTCTTCAACTCTTCAACTCTTCAACTCTTCAACTCTTCAACTCTTCAACTCTTTAACTCTTTAACTCTTTAACTATGACCGATAATACTGAATATACTTCTGAATCTGATATATTGGACTCTTTTGTATATAATTTGTTACCAATATTCCTTTTTACTACGAATTTTCTTGATGATAATTGGAATTACACCAATTCTATTGGTAGAAGAATATTTGATGATGCTATCTTTCTTGGTACTCCTTTTATTGGAACTTTAATTTTATTATGGATTAAAAGTGATGATATCATTTGGCCTAGTATTCTTTATACGATCCATTTGTCTTTTTTTATTATATACTTTGTCGCTACTCGAGCTTGGTTAAATCATGGTAAGTTAAACCAAAAGAATTTAACTCATGAGGAAGATGTGAAACATATAAAATACGTGTACGAAAAAATAATATGGAAAGTTTGGATACATCGTATACTATTTTTATTAACAATGTCTCAAATTATTTTAATTATTTTTAACCTGGTATTCATGTACAAATTTTTTCCGAAAAGGCATTCAACTAAGATTGACTACAAATATTATATCTGGGTAGTCTTTCCATGTTTTGTGGCAATATTCTATTCAATTGTACAATCATTGATTGTTTATCGTAAGGAGGAGGATGAGAAGGATAAGGAGAATAAGAAGGATGAGGTGAATATGGAGGATGTGGAGGATGTGGAGAATGTGGAGAATGAGAAGGATAAGGAGAACATAAAGAATGAGGTGAATATGGATAATATGGAAAATAAGGAAGATGAGGAGGATGAAAGTAAAAACAAAAAACTTATCGAAACAATTACTCGTTTTATTATTTGGTCTATTCTACATGGTATAATTGTTACAGAATTATGGATATTTCCAATAAGTGCTTATTTCACGAAATTTTACTTGTTATTATACATAAACTGTGTGACATTAATTTTCCGTTACGATTCACCTAAAGGTATCAAATTTGGAGTTGGTTTTTTAAATTTTATTTTCATAGAGAATTCAAATAATTTTAAAGAAAATTCTCATTTACCTGTAAAATATTTTTTTTATTTGGATCATATGGATAAAGATAAGAACAAAGAAAACAAAGATTTTGTACACAATAATCGATTTAAAAATATTAGAAGTTTATATTTGAAGTGACTGAAGAACCCTTCCTATATTATATATCACGTACAGTATATTTAAAAATTGTGTAATTTTAGTTATATTTATTATTTTGCAAAATTATTTTTGTATAATCAAATAAAAATTCTTTTTTCGCGTACGTTGGTAGATTTTTTTGTTTAGTTTGGGTCCATTATCCGTTTATCACGTTATATTTATCAACATTTTGTAATTTTAGTATATTTTGCAAATTATCTCTGTACAATAATAAAACAATGGCAATCATTTAATTTGTCTGAAAACATAAACTCTTTTCGTGTATGTGAAATGGTAGATTTTTTTTTTTTAATTAGAATTTGAATTCGTTATCCGTTTAAATGTTTAATAAATTGTAATATACGGTTACGAATAAATATTTAAAACAAAAAATTTTATTTCAATTTTACAGTATACACAGTGAGTAAAGTCTTGATATATCAGAATTGGAGTCTGGAACGGAATATCATAATCTATAATTAATTTACCCTCAATATAAAGGATTTTTCAATATAACGGATTTTTGACAAATTTTACCAATGGAACGAATGGTTCCATTATATCGAATTTCACTGTGTATATAGCAACAGATTCACTATACTTAAGGTATCCATTTATCCAGATATCCATCGGAATCGTTTGAACTAGAAAACAAGTTATTAAGCTAAACCATTTTAAATCTGCAAAGCCTTGCTGTTCCACGATATTTAAATATTATAATTATCCATTATGAATTCATTTAACTTTTTATTATTAAATGAAGACGAAAATGATTTGATTCAAAAACTAGACGAGTCAAAGATTATGAACTGTCATCATTACGTGTCAAATATATGACGCATTGTATTATCTGTTATATCAACAAATAACAATCATACCCCACCGTACTCTCAACTCACATACCTAAAGGAAGATGCAAAGAAAGGGACCTAAGAGAAGACCTAATAAAGAGAAGATCTTGACAGAGAGAAGATAAACCTAAAAAATAGATGATGAAAAAAAAGAAGTTAAACACCACCAGATAACAAATATAAAGTATAAATATCAAAAAAAAAATTCACATTTTTAATATTTAATATGCACTCTTTTTCAAAAACTTCTTTAAGAAATTTTTTCATTCTACCAGTGAGCATTTTACCAGTGAGCATTTACCTATTATGAGAAAGAAAAAAATTATTAATAGTGTGCTAAATTTTTATTTAATGATAAAGAAGACATAGCCAATTTCTTTTCCAGAATTAGCAGACTTTATCAATAGTAAAAAAGACATAGCTAATTCCTCCTTTTAAAATTAGTAGACTTTACTAATAACAAAGTAGGATTTTATCTACTTGAGTTGGTTATCAAGTGAACAAGAGAAATAAAAAAAAAATAAAAAAAAAAAGAAAAAAAGGGAATAAAAAAATAAAAATAAAAATAATATAAAAAAGAAAAAGCAGGTAATTTTATAGGAATTACCCACTTTGCTCACCCTTACTCAACCCAAACAAACAAATCCAGTACCCTCCTAAGTAAATTTTGTGAACTCCCCAACTCAAATGAGTTATCTGTTCTAATTTTGACTTAGGAAGTTACCCACTTTGCAAATAAAAAAATACACATCTCTTTTAAAGTCTCTTGAACCATTTACACTCTCTAGAAAATCAGTAATGCTCCATTTAGAGAACTTTCATCTGTTGTCCAGTATTTCAATACAAAATAGTGCTGTAACTGATAAATAAAAAAAGAATAAATACAATCCAATGATAAGAGATCAGATAACAAATACAAAGTATAAACATCAAAAAAAAAAAAAAATTTCGCGTTTTTAATACTTGATACGCACTTTTTTTAAGAACTTCTCTAAGAAAATATGTGCACCTCCACTCTTTCAACCTACATACTTAAAGGAAGACGTAAAAATAGGGATCTAAGAGAAAACCTAATAAAGAGAAAATCTTGGCAAAGAGAAGATATGTCTAATAAAAAAAAAATGAAAAAAAACAAAGTTAAAACACAACACACAAATCCACATTTCCAATCCACACTTTCAACTCACATACCTAAAGGAAGACGTAAAGAAAGGGACCTAAAAGAAGGCCTAATAAAGAGAAGACTTGACGGAGAGAAGATAGACCTAAAAAAAGAAGATGAAAAAAAATGAAGTTAAAACACCACCACCTACATATACACGAACCTACGCTTCCAATCCACTCTCTTTGCTTAGGTTATGTTTACTTCTGCAAAAAAAGCTTTGTTTCTTTGGTTTATATTTAAGTCATTGCTAAAAATAAATAGGAAATATAAAGTGGAAATAAAATAAAGAATAGCTTTTTTTTGTTTACTTCGCTGAAGAGAAAGAAAAACTGATAGTCTTTTTGGCTACTCAGCTGTGGAGAGAGGAAGAGAGAATTTTTTTTAAAAAAATTTGTGGATGGAAAGGCCTTTTATATAAATTTTCTAGTTATAGTANAGCTGAATAAAGTCACGAATCGGACAAATACAGCCAAAAATCAGCAGTCCGATATTTGACTGATTTTTACTTATTTGACGTGTGGATGTTAATAAGTTCATTAAGATTCCAGGCCCAAACTTCTTTAATTTGACTGAAGAAATGCCACAGGTTGAAATATAATATACCGGTCATCAATCGGTCATATAACTGATTGGTACCTTATTGGTAACTGATCTGTTACTGATTTATTTATTCAGATACCAACCGGTCATCAATCAGGCATTTATTTCAATCGGTTACACATCAGTTGTATGACCGATTGGTGCCAATTGGTGACTGATTGGTGCCAGTTTAACAATCGGTAAACAATCAGCCATCTGTCATCTATATTAGAAGTTGACCGATTGGTTGCTGATTGGATATTGTTGACCATCAGTCATTAATCAGCTATCAGCAGGTCGAATTATTGTCAATCGGGTACCAATCAGGCATATGTCTGATTGATACAGATTACAGTTATTTGCGAAATAACGGATCACTTACAGCTATTTGCGAAAATAATGGACCACCTAATTCATTTTTTGACTGCGTATGAAATTTTCATACGCAGTCATACGCATGGTAATATTTTCCTGGACCGTCAAACTCATTTTTTGAATTTTTCATATGCAGTTATCTGCAGTTATATCACAATAATTCTAGCATGTATGACTGCATATGGCTGCGTATGAAAATTTTATACGCAATCGAAAATCGAATTAGCTGGTCCGTTATTTTGCAAATAGCTGTAATAGATGATTTGTATGTAGCTGATTGATGCTAATTCAATAAATGTGCTTTATGATTTTATCTGATCCAAGACTTATTTTTAACTGTTACTAATAAACCGAACAATGATGGAAATAATAATAAAAATGCATGTACCCACATTATTTTTATATTGCATAAGCTAATAAATGATTTATTCTAAATAATAAACAATTTTGTCACCAATTGTATTAAAAGATTTAATAATTCTCCTAATTACCAACTGAAAATTTATCATTTGACTATACATGATGAAATAATGTGTACAAAATGAATAAGGGAATATACAAGGAATGATATTTAATAAAGAAAAAATAGGCAGAAAGTCGAAGATTTTTATAAAAAAGAATATCGTTGGATGATTAAAGAAATAATTGAAAAAAGAAATATTACAATAATATTATTTGAAGGAAGTATTTTTAGAAAAAAAAAAAATTAACTGTATGTACTAATTAATATACATAAAATTCGCAAAAGCAGGGGAGGGGGGATCGGTTATTAGTGAAAAATAGGTAAATAGAATACAAAATATAGGAAATCACCACCATCACAACACCACCACAATCACTACCATCAATCGTCCATTTCAAGATAATCATCGTCAGAAAGTTGGTCAGAAGG